AAAAAAAAAAGGTTGGAATTTCCAAAAAAAATGGAGAGCAGGCTTCTTGGAGAAGCTTTCTCATTTTTTTTATTTATTATATAAGCAAGACAAAGTTAATGGAAATATAACGAACGAAGTGACGAAAGTAACGGACGTGTGATGAAAGTAACAGACGATGATAGACGTGTGACGGACGGTGACAGACGTATAATAGAAGTTACAAGTAAATGTTATTTTCTTCCATTCTTATATATTAAGGGTTAAAATCGTTATATTATAAGATAAATGGCTAAAATCATCCAACTTATTAAGATAAGGGGTTATTTTTAGGCTTTGCCGTGCAAATAGGGGGTTAGACCATAAATTCAAGGTGCGTTTGACCATTAAATTTTTAGTCTTTCACGTGTTTTGAATGGTAAAAGGTGTTGACTGAAACAAAAATTAGTTTAAGGTATTGAACACAGAAAGAAAAAATGTGTAGGGTGAAAATAAGGCCATTGGCCTTGTACACTTGCGTTTTCTTTTTGTTTTTCCGGTGAATCCTGTTTAACCATTCAACGCTGCCCTCTGGTTTTTCTCATCATTTTTCTTGTCTGGTTGCTAAATCACAATAACAATATTTATGCTTTTATTTTTTTTAAACATTAGGGGGTAGGACTTGAACTTTATACTTATCAAATTTAACATGAAAAATCTTTTATAAAAGAGAGGTGACCATTCACAAGGACGTTCTCAATATTTATGCTTTTATACGTGAAAAGAAAGCTAAAATTTTCATTTTTGATCTGCATAATGGTTAACAAGCCTTCAAATCCTGTGTGCTATAAACAGGAATGGTAAAGGTACCCGGGATTGGGAGCAGTCGGGTCAAATCGAACTTTTCCTGGTTACCCCCACAGAAATAATTACTTCTTGTTTCATTGCAGGATGAAACCCCACCACCACATGAAAGCTTGAGAAGGAAGAGCAGCCGCTGTCTTTGACTACCACGTGCCACATCCGACACGTGTCTTCATACAAGAACATCAATACTTGTAACACACTCTCATCATACCCAGCAAAACATGGTCTCCCCAAACCACCTAGGTAGGTACTAGTAAACCCTTTTAACAACACCTCAAAATTCCACCTCCCTAACCTTAAAAAATAATGGAATAATCAATTTAGAATCTGATCATATACTATTCCCCTCTATGCCTCTGCTTGTGTTTTAAAGTTCTGTTGCAGGAATCAAAAAGAGCATCTATACAATTTTGTCAAGTATACCTTCTCGGTATCATTGATCCACATGAATTGCAGGTTGGTTTCCATGTGCTGGTTAAGAGCTAGATTGTATTACCATGCTAATAAATCTCAAGTGAGTATTTGGTCAACCTCCATGTTTCACGTTTTATATCAAGGAAGGAATGACTTTTTCTGCCTTTGGAATCATTTCCTTTGATGGGTTTCTATTTCCTTTATTAGGTGGACTCTTTAAGCATTATCTTAAAGTTTAAGATTTTGTATGATCCAAAGCTACATTCTACCAATCAAGTCTCAGCTGAATTAATATTTATTAATTTAAAAATTTTAATTTGAGATCAAAATCAAAGGTTCAAACTTTTATGTGGTCAAGTAATTAACTTTTTAATGTACCAAAAAATCTGAAGTCATATTCTGAACTTTGCCAATGGTACATGAGATAACAGAAGGATGCAATTACCTTTTATGGCTTTCAGCTTTGGATGGCATCATTTAGTCACTTCCATCACTTTGTTGATGTTGTTGGCTGTTATCTACATGAGAATTAGAATAGATTCTGAAGTTGTTTCTAATTCAGAACTCTTAAGAAGAAATCAAGGAGAAAGAAAAATTCAGAGGGAAACATAGCATGATTCAAAGGGGAAAAGAAAAACAATGGAAAAATCAATTGAGGAAAAAGAAAAACATAACAGATAGGCAAAGAGAAGTAAGAGAAAAATTTGAAGCCATTAAATCATGAATGCGAATCTCAAGTCTCATTTTCCATTTAATGGCTTCAAATCATTCCCTCACTTGTCTGCTCTGTTTTGTATGGCTGATCCTCTGCATCCAGGCCCCCCACACCTGCCGATGGCCACCATTGCCATCTCCTTCCTCCATCCCTCCCTGTGGCTACCCACAAATGAGGAAGAAGAGGGCCTTTTTCCTGCCTTGTTTGAGACGCCAACGGATCCTTACTATATAAACAGAGTCACCAACATCCCAAAAGCTGAAGTCCATGCCTACGTTTAGTGGGCTCCATGGTGACATTGCATAATATGTCACCTCTAGTCGTAAGACATTCGGCAGTCAAGAGCCTGAGCTGTCTTTTTATTTATAATGTTTTTCTAGATGATTCATGTGGACCAGTGTTTTTCTAGATGATCCATGTGGACCCGTTGATTTGGAATAAGACTTGGTCACAACTTTTACTCTTTCAAGATTGTTTTGTTTTCATTCAAAAGTTTAATTAAGCATAAATGTGCATTTCATTTCAGATTGCATGTGGTTTGGAGTTTAAAAGTATTTAAATATCTTTAATTATAACTTTTATTCTTTAAGCAGTGATGATATATTAAATGAGGGAATGCATTTAATATCATTTTTTTTTGTTTTCATTCAAAAGTTTAATTAAGCATAAATGTGCATTTCATTTCAGATTGCATGTGGTTTGGAATTTAAAAGTATTTAAAATTTTAAATATCTTTAATTATAACTTTTATTCTTTAAGCAGTGGTGATATATTAAATGAGTGAATGCATTCAATATCATATGTTCCAAATGAATAAAAAAAATCAATAATTTAAATAACACATAAAATTATACAAAAAAGTAGTACAAAAAAATTATCTCTAAATCATTTTCTTCCTTTAAGAACATGTTTTGTTTTAAGGAAACTTAGATGTGATGAGAGGATTTTTTCATTTAAATATATTAAAATGTAAAGAGAAAATTAAAATAAAGAGAAATCCCTACCTTCCCACCAAATAAAGAGAAATTTGATAGTATTATCTGATATTTAGAGACTTCTTATATTTATTTAATTATCTATATTTGTCATGAATATTATCTCTTTATATTGGATCCATAGGCCTTTTTAATTTTTTATTTTCCTTATTAGCATATATGACAAAAGTATAGATTGAACTGCACCTAATTTTTCATTTTAATAACACTATGCTGTGGCATCAAAAAAAAAAAAACTCTATGATTTTCTTTCAAGTTCTTATCCTCATCTTAATCTTTCTAGTCTCTTCCTCCATCTTTTTTTACTATACTGCTATATTATTCGCAAATAAAAAAATTAAATATGACTGAATATTTATTTCTAAGGGATACTACTAATTACTCCTTGCTAAATAATATAAAAATAGTAAAACATATTTAAAGGCATAGATTATAAAGAAACTGAGTTGGTAGAACAGGGCTAGCCTTCCAAGCTTAAGTGGGCTAAGGAGAGACCCAAGGTTATCAGGCTTGGAAGAAAAGATGTTTTTTTAGGTCCAAGAGGAAAAGCCTAGTGGCATGTGTTGTCGAATGACGGATAGGCTACCAGTCGAACTGTGCTGCAGGAAGAAGCTTCAGTTATGTCGTCGTGTCTGAGTTCTTCCACAACAAAAACAGCCTATGGAGTTGCCATCGAATTCTTGAAAAAGTTTAGACCTTTTTCTCTTATGGGGTTCTCTGACTTTACCACACAAAGCTCGAAGATTCATGGCACCAGCCCTTCATTCATGGACAGACCCCATTTCTCTGGTATTCCTCTTTCTCTTTGTTTACTCTTTTGTGCAAGAATGGTAAACTGTTATCTTTAATATTGCTGGGTTTTCTTATATTCTGTTAAAATTTTGAACTTTCTCTTACAGAAAGGGAGAAGAGTATATACACTATTTTGACGATAGATAGGTGGGAATCAATGAACCATATGGAGTACAAGTTGGCTGCATTGAGGCCTGTTCATGGGAGGCTAGCTTTAAAATTCCTCAATTGGGTCATCAAGCAACCGGGTTTGGAACTCAATCACTTTACTCATATTTTTTCCATCACCATCCATGTGCTAATTAGAGCTAGAATGCTTGACTGTGCTAAATCACTCTTGAGACAGTTATCTCAAATGGGTATTGGGGCAAGTTCTGTTTTTGGGGCTTTAATGGACACATATCCCTTTTGCAAATCAAACCCTTCAGTTTTTGACCTACTTATCAGGATTTATTTGAGGGATGGAATGATTGATAATGCATTAGAGACCTTCCACTTCACAGGGTTTAGGGGATTCAATCCATCAGTTTATACTTGCAATATGATGCTTGGTTATATGGTGCAGAATGGGATGACTGGATCAGTTTGGTCATTCTTTAAGGAAATGCTTGCTAGAAGGATTTGTCCTAATGTTGCTACTTTTAATATCTTGATCAATATTTTGTGTGTTGAAGGGAATCTAAAGAAGGCTGGGTTTTTATTGAGAAGGATGGAAGAAAATGGTTATTTTCCAACTGTAGTTACATATAACACTTTGCTTAACTGGTATTGCAAAAAGGGGAGGTATAAATCAGCCTTTGAGTTAATTGATTGTATGGGGTCGAAGGGCATTCAAGCAGATGTATGTACATATAATATGCTCATTGACGATTTGTGTAGAAACAGTAGAAGTGTGAAAGCTTACTTATTGTTGAAAAAGATGAGGAAGAGGATGATATCTCCTAATGAAGTCACCTACAATACTCTTATTACTGGTTTTGTTAAAGAGGGAAAGATTGGAATTGCTACTCGAATTTTTGATGAGATGTCAGTGTTCAATCTTTCGCCGAATTATGCTACTTACAATGCTTTAATTGACGGACATTCTAATGAGGGTAACTTTGAAGAAGCTTTAAGACTCATTGATATGATGGAATCTGCAGGATTTCAACCTAATGAAGTGAGTTATGGGGCAATTTTACACGGATTCTGTAAGAATGGTGAATTGGACTCAGCAAGAAGGGTTTTTGAGGGAATGAAGATGAATGGGATGGTTGTTGGTCATATAGCATACACAGAAATGATGGATGGATTATGCAAAAATGGGTTTCTTGATGAGGCTGTACAGATGCTTCATAACATGTTTGAGGATGGTGTGGATGCTGATGTTATAACCTTTTCTGTACTGATAAATGGATTCTGTCGTGTTGGGAAGATAAAAAATGCAAAGGAAATAATATGTAGAATGTATAAAGCTGGACTCAGGCCTAACAAAATCATATACTCTACTTTAGTCTACAATTCTTGCAAGATGGGAAATGTTATGGAAGCATTGAAATTTTACCTGACTATGAATCGCAGTGGCCTTGTTGCTGACCATTTCACTTGTAATGTGTTGGTTGCTTCCCTTTGTAGAGATGGAAAAGTAAGAGAGGCTGAAGATTTCTTGTCTCACATGAGTAGAATTGGTTGTGAACCTAACTCCATTGCATTTGATTGTGTTATAAATGGCTATGGAAATTTGGGTGATGGACTAAAAGCATTCTCTATGTTTGATGAGATGATAAAATTAGGCAATCAGCCTAGTTTTTTCACATATGGCAGCCTACTTAAAGGACTGTGCAAGGGTGGAAATCTACGAGTGGCAAAGAAGTTTTTGAATAACCTGCACTACATTCCTTCTGCTGTAGATAATGTTGTGTACAATACAATACTTGCTGAGACATGTAAACAGGGGAAAATGTGGGAGTCAGTGGTCATAGTTGACCAAATGCTCAAGTTTGGTGTGCTTCCTGATGATCACACCTATACTATTCTTGTTGGTGGCTTCTGTAGGAAAGGAAAAATTGTTGCTGCCCTCCTTTTGTTTGGGAAGCTGATGGAGAAAAGGGCTTTTTCTCCTACTTTATTAACATACACCTGCTTAGTTGATGGTCTTTTCAAGGCAGGCCAATCAAAGGCTGCATCTTATATTTATGAAGAAATGGAGGAAAAAAGTATTCACCCTGATACTATTGCACTTAATGTTCTTATAGATGGAACCTCAAGAATGGGGAAAATGGCCAAGGCATGTGATTTGCTTTCATCAATGAGGAGTAGAAATGTGTGCCCTAATTTGTCAACATATAATATTCTGTTGCATGGGTATACTAAGCAAAAGAATTTGCTTATGTGTTTTGTTATATACAAATTAATGATCAGAAGTGGCATTTTTCCTAATAAACTGACCTCATATTGTCTCATTCTTGGACTCTGTGAGTCAGGGGGGCTGGATATTGGTATTAAATTCTTGAAAACTATGATATCTGCTGGCTTTGAGGTTGATCAGTTTACATTTAAAATGCTTATCACCAAGTGTTGTGAAAGGGGTGAGATAAGAAAAGCCTTTGATCTTGTTAATATTATGAACTTTTTGGGCATACTTGCTGATGTAGATCTCCAAAATGCCATTGTTAGTGGACTCAACAGAAATCTGGCCTTCCAGCAGTCTTATGTTCTTTTGCATGATATGTATCAGCAAGGTTTCCAACCCAAGAGTAGACAATATATTACATTGATGAATGCTATGTGTCAAGTTGGGGATATTCAAAGTGCATTCAAGCTAAAAGATGAGATGGTGTTACTCGGTATAAGTTCACGTGATGTTGCTGAGAGTGCTATGGTAAGAGCACTTGCCCACTGTGGGAAGGTTGAAGAAGCAACTTTAGTTCTTGATCACATGCTTCAGATCCAACTTGTTCCAACCATTGCTACTTTTACTACTCTTATGCACATATTCTGTAGAGAAGCTAATGTTGCAGAGGCTCTAACCTTGAGGAATAAAATGGAACGATGTGGCCTAAAGCCGGATGTCGTCACATACAATGTTCTGATTTCAGGTCTTTGCTCTAATGGTAATATAGCAGGAGCACTAGAATTATATCGAGAGATGAAACAAAATAGTCTTTGGCCTAATGCCACTACTTATACCATTCTAGTTGACACCATTCTAACTAAGGGGGGTTGCCTTGTTGAGGGTGATGTGATTTTGAAGGACTTAAAGGAGAGGGGAATCATATCTTGCAATTGGGATGGAAGTACCAAAGCATTGCACAAGGGGTTGAGAATGGCCATTGACAAATTGAAGCACATACAGCAGAATAGAAGCAAATCTTTGAAAACAAACGGTAAAACAATGTAATTGTCTTGGTGAAGAAGACATGAACCAACTTTCTGAAGGTCTAGTCACACATAAACGACGAAGCTAAGACGAGATGCTCATGACTTGACCAATTCCGAGGGTTTGTTTTACAGTCACATTTCTTTCAATTTCCTTTTGAATTTAAATCTATTACTTCTTTGTGCTTAATTTATAGTTTTTCTGCATTCTTAGGTTGCATATCATGGATACATAAATCCCTCCTTTCCTAGGTGAATAATATTTTACGTGAAATGCATTAATGTTAATCCTAGGAGTGTAAACATAAGAGAGAAAGTGCATAAAAGAAATACAATCTACCAAGGTGTTTGGTCCTTGACAAGTTCCCATTAAGTCTCTAGCTCTAACCCCTTTTTCTCCTTTTGCAGCATCGTTGTTCTTTAAAATTCAAAGCTTCTAATTCCTGCATTTCTACTGATATTAGGTACACCTACTATGTAAAATCACAAGAGAATTGAGATGCTATGATGTAATTCAAGCGGTGGTAATAACTCCAGACTCAGCCTTAGACAATCTACATTGCTGATGATCAACGTTGCAGGTGTGAAAAGAAGGATGCGCGTCTTGTGTAGAAGATGTTTGCAAGTTACCTGGAGGTAGTGCCTCAAGTTGTACAGACTTCTTTGAGTGAAAATGAAACAATCTTGTTTCCTTTTCTCAAGGTAAATATGTCATGGGCCATAGATTGGCATAACAGGAAAAAGGTTGTTGGACAAAAATGCTAATATATCACAAGTTGAATCTCATATTCATAGTAATATTTCTGCAGTTTATTCCTTAATAATAATAATAATAATAATAATAAAATAGTTTAACTCCTTTACCCAGTGCTCTTGCCATGGCAGACAGAATCTAGCAACATGAACAGAACAGTGGATATGCTTGCTGCAAATGACTTTCTATTAGTTAATGTTTTCCTAACATGATTGTGATTTTTCATTTGTGTGTTATTTATTCTTGTTATCTCTGTTTGAAACAACCACATCTTTAGGAAAATGCAATATACCATTTTAATATAAATGCACCTTAGACATGCTCATTCCCATTTCAATTTATTTATTAAACATGTCTTGTTGTATTTGGTTTTTTAAAAAAGAAACTTTAAATCACAGTAATATCATCTTAGATACACAACAAGTTAATAGTGAATTAATTATTTTGTTTTGTAGTCATAGAATTTAATTTGATACACCCATTACATTAAAGATTAAAGATTAAAAAATAGAGCAGAAGCTTAGATTAAAATGACATATAGGCGTGATTTTGAATATGGTTTTCTGAATGACATAAAAAGGCCAGATTCTGGGGCTCCTGTGTATGATTAGATACAAAAATTCTTTAAAGTTTGTCTTCTTCTTGCCTACTGTTTAAGTTTACACCTTTAGCCCCAAAAGCTAAAAAAGAGACTGAGTTTTAATTTTAAATACAACTTTATTTACTAAAAGAGGCTTTCAATTTCTTCAAAAATATATATTGCTAAGTAAAACAGATTTTAATGTCATATCAAAATTTCCAAATTCTAAACATATTTATTTAATCTTTAAAATAAAAGAGTGAAAATAAATAAACCAGAAAAAAAGACTAATGTATAATTTGCGCTAAGTAAGCTAAATATTATATAACTAGATGATGAGTAAGCCCCTAAATACAATTTAAACATAATTAAAAGTACCCTTTAATATTGGTTGAAGAAGAAGTTTAAAGAAAAAAATAATTATTTTTTATTATATAATTTATTATTTAATATATTAAAAAAATAATTTAAACATAAATAAAAGTTGCCTTTGATATTTGCAGTATCCTTCCTGCTAAATGGTTCTTATTTTAAGACAAAATATAAATACTCCTATGGTAATATTATAATTATTATAATATGTATAATTATAATAGATTATTAAATAAATAAAATATGTATAAATATATAATATTATCAATAAATTTTTAAATAAAAAATTAATTTATAAAAAAAACTTTGTTTTATGATTTTAATTACATTAAATTATAAAATAAAAAATCCTCTAAATTAAAAAAATTTAAATTTTTTTAATAATTAATATAATATAATTTAAATTACACTATACTTTCTTTATTTTAAAATAATTACAAACCATCTTAGAGGTATCACTTTCAATATAATAAATAATTTCAAGCTCCTAACGAAAAAAATAAAAATAAAAAAAGACCGTGCCAGCAAAGCAGTTGCCCTCATTGCTTGCGTGTAAGCCTACGTCTCCGAGTCATGCCGTTTGCCAGCTCATCTTTCCGTTCCATTGTTGCACCACGTTTGGCCTTTCCTTTTCTTAAGCCCCTCAACCTTTTTTTGACAGCAAAGTGACAAGCCCCTCAACTATAAAGGACGGAAATAAGCCCTCCAGTTTCACATTTGGTGCAAATCAGCCCCTTCGTTAACCGACTCCGTGACGCCCGTTTATTACCAGCTTGCATTTCATTGCACGGCTTTACATGTTTCTCTCTTGCCTTTACTTTTGTTTGTTTTAAGGGATAATATATTTTTAATTGATCAATATTTTTAGTAAATCAATTAATTAATATTATACAATATTTATATGCTTAGATGGCATTTTTTATTAAAATAGTGACGTATTTTTTATTTTAATTAATAATGTATTTTACTTCAATAATCTTTATAAATCACTTTTTAAATTTAATTAAACCACCTAATTAATAAAAAAATTTTAAACATCTTTTTTTTTTCATTAATTACTTGATGCGTGTAAATTTAATTGTCTACCATTTATTTTTAGAATATTATTTAATGTGTTTGTTATTATTTTATTATAATTTTAGAAAGATAATTACAATATATATTAAATAAGTGGTCTTATACCAATGACTTTGTTGGTTCAAGTGAAATAAGCTCGATGATGCACTAAAATTACCTTAACAAGTGTATTAGTCGCTCCAAGTAATATAATGATGAGAAGAGTGTCGAACCCACGATAATTGTGTCTAACTAAGTACCAAAATAATTAATGCAAATTTATTTGAACAACCAAATGAGAAGAAAGTTTAACTAAAAATAATAATAGGAGGAAAATAACAATTAAATTAAACATAACCAAGATATGAGGTACTAATGCATTGATTTCATCATAATCAATCAATATAAATTCTGGATTATCAAATTGTTGAGTGTTATTGCATATGATGGCGGATTTCCCTAAATTAATTAACTAGCTTTCTCAAGTCAAATTAATCATTCACTTGTTTGTTAAATTAATCATATTTCTATGTAATTTTAAACAAACTTATGAGCATTAAATTCTATGGAAACCTCTAGTTTAAAAAGGGGGAGCTCCTAATTCTCTTCTCTTCCTCCACTACCACATGTGAGCTAATTACCTCTCGGTCCCATAGTCTAGCACATGGTTTATATTATTATTGATCTAATCTACGCAATTCTTTCTTAAGTTCATGTATAAATCACTAAATCAATTGAAAGGTTATCAGAATTCCAGTGCATTAAATTCAATAATATAAACTCTTCATGCGAATAACTTTAATTAAAAGTGTAAAATCACAATATCTATATTGAATTGATTAGGCTACATCATAGCCTTAATAAAATAAATCAGTTCATAATAAAAAGAATAAAAACTCAAGGAAAAACAAAACCCAATTTGAGCAAATCGAACTCTTCGATCTTCTATTGTTGATGGAACCTCAATCTTGATCTCCAATAATGCCCAAAAGAGGGCTGCCACTAGCCTCTCCAAACTCTCTTAATTCTGAATTTAGATGGGTATTTATAGGATTTTAAAAACCCTAATTGAAATAGAAGTAGGACATGGAACAGAAATAAGAAACTAAATTTTGGATGCTGATGGCATGGTACTGACACTTCGGATTACGTGTTGACACAAAATAAGAAGTAGAATCTGATTCTGGACGTTTAATGCATGATGTCGACACCCCGATCATGTGTCGACACTACACCCATGTCGGGTTTTTGGCCTCCTTTTGCAATTTCTTCAATGGTAAAATAGCAGATTTGGTTCCTGACTTCTGGATTCTGCACAAGTTGATCCTCAAGT